ACGGAGGAGAGCGTCGCGGAAACTGCAGATCCCACACGTGCTGAGTATGGAGCGCGCCAGGCCTTGGTTAGCTCCTCGTGGACCTCGGGGAAAAATGGCGCCGGTTTGTGACGCGGGGCCTGCTGGCGCCCCTCCAGATCCCATCCATCCAGCCGACTACGAGGCGGCTCCTCGGGCGAGGCCCACTCGAGCTCGAGGTCCGCGACGGCCTTCGTCAGGATCCGAAGCATTTCGGCGTCGGAGTTCGTCCTGGTCGCTAATCCACTGGCCACCGATTGAGAAGCGGTGACGGGGTCGAGAGAGCCCGGCCACTCGTCCTCAGAAGCGGCGATGGATAGGCTGTCGTCGCGCTCGAGAGATCCGCCGAAGGAGACGAGGCCCACCACGTGTGGGGGGGGGGGGGGATGGGGGGGGTTGGGGGGCGCTGGTCTCCTGCGAACAGGACCGGTGATGGCGTTTGAGTCGGAGAAAGTGAAGCACGCGGGGACGCGGCCGGCGTGCGTTCACAAATCTCCATACCCTCCGGTTGCCGTTGGCTGCGACGCTTCTTCTTCCTCGGAATGGAAAGCGTGGTTGAAGCGGCATCGCCGTCCCGAGAGGGAGCTAGCCGATTGCGCAGCACGGAGATAGGCATGCTGTCGCAGGCCGCACATCCGCCAGCAGAGAGAGCATTCTCTGCGTGGTCGACACCCAGGCAGGAAATGCAGCTCGTGTGCTGGTCTGCCTCGTGCAGACGGCCTCCGCACGTGGCGCAGGATGAACGAGGCATACTGAAAAGAACACAATATAATGCAAAGGATATAGGATGTCGCCGGATAGCCACAGGTGAGACGGCGTCAGGAGACAATCGACGTGCAGGCGAAGTCTGCTGAAGAGAAGCTCGCTCAGGCTGAAAGGCTTGTTCGACGGCGAATACACAGTAAAAAGCTCAGGGACATGTGTACTGTCGCTGAAGGAGTAAAATCTGCTATAATGGCGAATTCGGGGGTCTATATGGGCTGGGCCACGCCCCCTCGGCGGGCTCTGACTTTGGGCTAGCTCATTGGTCGCGCGTCAGAGTCGCCCGCGCCATTGGATGTGCAGTTGCTGCAGCACAGCCTATGAGCGTGTCAGACGCTCAGTGTGCTAGCTGTGCAGCTGCAAATGCGTTTTACATATAGGCTTCAGTAAATCGAGGAAAAGGAGTTTCCCCACTGCGTATAGCTACGCAATACGAAGTGACCGTTCGAAAGGGAAATTAGTTTATATTGGCCTTGACCTTATTTATTTTTCTCTCAGAAATTACGAACTTTCTTAAGTATACATTTATACCGTAATACATAGTTATATAATTTATTATAGTATGAATTTATAATTATTAAATGGAATTATTGGAATTATTATAATAACAATTATATTATGCTACAATTAAAAAATGCTAAAGATAAAACAGTTGAAGGTAAATTCACAAGTGTGATGCATTAATTATGTTGGTTTTATAGTAGTAAATGTCATATGTTTAACTTTGCTTGCATATTTTTTTTTATGGAATATCACCTACAGGGAAGTTACAGAAACTAACTTTCCCATTAAGGGCCAATATTTGACTCTTAAATTGATTTCCAGGGCCATTTTTTTCTAACCATGTTAATGTATACATAATCCATGCATTTACACTGGAGTTACAACAGCATTAATAACATTATGAGATTAATGATTTAAATATAGAATTTTGAATATAGAAAAAAATAAACGGGTGGGGGTAATAAATTATACATTTAATTTTGAATTAAAACTGCCAGTTCATTGTCTTGAATGAGTCATAGAAGCATTCATTTAACTGATTTGTTCAAACAGCTGATTCATTCTGGAACGAAGCAAGTGAATCACTGAACCATCACTACCTGCGTCCCAATTGTGGCTGCACCCTTCGAAGGCTGAAGGCAAAACTTTTGTTAAAATTAAAATAGGCCTATTTAATTTTTTATTTTCTGGAGCAAGGAGCAGACCACTCAATTTATATGGTCACAGTTACAGTACATTTAACATAAGAAACAAACTAGGTTAACTAATCATTTGCTAATGATATAAAAGTGACATTACACAGTTTAACCATACATATTTTACCTGGTTATGGTCTTGTCGTCAGTGTTGAAGCATGTCAAAATCCAATAAAAACTCAAATAAAAATAAAAGCCAATTTTTCTGCCTCTATTTCTCTTTTTAAAATCTGGATACTTGTACACTGTTGCTGTGGGTTGTTAATTGTATAGTCATATATATGTTATTTATAACTTATGATATTAAGCCATATTTCCAGAATATTAGCACGATTGCACGAACAGTAAAAATAAATATTGTGATAAGTGAAATTCTAGACATAATATTGTCAATATTTTTTTGCTCTATTCTCCAACGACAATAGTTCCAAACAAGCAACAGGTTGAAAGGTTGAAGTTGTCTTTACTTTAGTGATACCCCGCCCCCCACATTTGGGTTAGTTTTGGTTGTGATTCCACTTCTTTTGATTAGCAATTGGGTGGGTTTTGTTGTGCAGACCTGGCAACTCTGCCCTCAGTTAGCATACCTGTCAAGTTTTGGATTTGAAAATAAGGGAAATTTTCCGGCGCCCACCGCGAGCAGTCCCACCACCCCAACCAAGCTCCAGTATCCCTTACATTTTAAGACAGTGTTATAGCCTAAATGAAAACACACACACACACACACACACACACACACATATATATATATATATATATATATATATATATACAGTATATGTATGTATGGTATATATAGGGTATATATTAAGAGCATTTATTTAAAGGCTTATTTGCATATATTCTGTTCATTTAACATTGCTTGTCTTCACATTTACATTTTATTTTCATTCCACACATTATTTTAACTTCATATTGCTTTTCTTTTACAGTTTTTCTTTTCATTTGCAGTTTTTCTTTTCATTTCACATAACTTTTCTTCACTCTTTTAGTGAGTTATTGAACAAATTTGTTGCATACTTTGTATTAACTGTTTTGGAAGGAGTGTATTTGTGGGCTGGGCCAGAGTGGTTAATTTTACATGAGAGTAGAGCAAACAGTTCTGTTGTCTAACGTCATCCTATTCTCTGTAACAATCTTTCGTACCATGCTAAAACACCCTTTCTCGTGCTGACATACATCATTCCTTCCCCGTGTGAGATGCTAAAGTCGCAGTTACAAAACTTACAAAACGCGTGACTGTCCCCCACCCTGCTCCTCTTCAGAAAAGTAAATTCGCTATCCCATTGATCGCGGTATTTAGTACATGAGGGTTTTGTTTTTTTGGCAGTGCCTTGCTCTGTCATAGCGTCCATCATCCGTCTCTGTTTTTGTTTGTTTTTTGTTTCCCCCGCGTTGTCACTCATCATCTGACCTCACACACTAACCTCGCGACAACTGCCACCTACAGTACCTGTAGTTATCGCGAGGCTAGTGACAGAGCTCATATTGGGAATGTTTTTTGTTTTTTTTACTCCGCCCGGGGTATTATTATTTTTCAATAACGCAGGTTAAAATACGGGAGATTTACGGGAAAGTCCTAATACGGGAGGACGGCGGGAAAGAAGGGTAAAATACGGGACTTTCCCGGCCAAAACGGGATACTTGGCAGGTATGGGTTAGACCTTCGTGCACTCCGAAGGCATGGTCCGCGGCCTTCGAAGGATGCAGCCTCTGAATTTTGTTGCAATTTCCTGTTATATCTGTAAAGCTGCTTTGAAACAATCTGTATTGTAAAAAGCGCCATATAAATAAATGTGACATGACTTGACTTGAATTGGGACACAGCTACTGTCTTAATGAATGAGTCACGGAAGCATTTAACTGATTCGTTCAAAACGGTAGATTTATTCTGGAATGAAGGAAGAGACTACTGGGTCACTGAATCACTGAACCAATTCGTTCAAAACCACGGATTCGTTTAGTGACGAAACACTGTGTGTGTTGGGTGCCGCAGAGACGTCTTTTGCTGTTGCTTGTTTGGAACTATTGTCGCTGGAGAATAGAGCAAAAAAAATATTGACAATATTATGTCTAAAATGTCACTTATCACAATATTTATTTTTACTGTTGTATAAAATCAATATCACATTTGCAAACGTGCTAATATTCTGGAAAAATGGCTTTCATCATAATATGTTATAAATATAAAAAAAAACATTTTTGCCCCCATATCTTGAATTTTGGGTGCCTTTATTAATTCTGGTGGCATTTTTCCCCATCTGATCACTGGTGTCGGGGGTTCCGTAGCTTACATTTTGTTTATCAATTGATGATGCTATAATTTATATAAAAACTAATTTAATTACTTTAGTTGTTATAAAGTAATTCTCGAGTCATTGGATCTCAAGTCAAAGTCAAGTCAAGTCAAGTCAAGTCAAGTCAAGTCAAGTCAAGTCAAAGTCATTTTCTTCATTTAGTCGAGCAAGTCTCAATTCCTTAAATTTGCGACTCGAGTCAGACTCGAGTGCCCTACCTCTGGTGTCCGGTGTCGTCAGTTTTGGATGTGTTGTATTCTCTGTTCGAATTGGATTACCTGTTGGATTTATTAAATATTACCTGTTTACCTTCATCTTCATCTTCGTCTACCTTTATACATGCATCCCCCATAGCTTTAGCCAGCCATGCGTGACAGTCAATCAGTACCTTACACTAACTTTTTTTCTTTTTGAGCTTGACAGACCAGTGGTCACCATGAACTCTCATTGTATGGCAAAATATTCTAAATTGTTTTAATCTAAAAGAAAAGAAAATTATAGGGACGTATGGCTTGGGATCAGAACATTGGTCCATCGATGACCAACCATGTTCCCACCAAATGTCAATGTATTTTCTAGCAGAAGGAGTTGGAAGAAACATTTTTAATGCTAATCTACAATCTGATTTGTGATGCAGCCTGGAATAAATCACACTGTGCCTGATGTTTATTTGGCCAGAGGACAATAAATCTGACTTGACGTGACTAAAGTTTAGTGAATTTACCGTCATTCTGAAGATTCTTGCATGTCGAGCATAAATTGTCATGCTTGCCGGTTCCTCTCAGTACCACTTTAAGATCCATTGATGTGCAATTGGTGTGTTCTACGCACGGCGATGTCGAGGATGTGACTGCGGAAAACATTTCTCGTGCACACTTCTCACATTTTGTATCACTGTGTGAGGTACCTATGGATACATTTAAAAATGTTTCACAAACTTAATTTATGAACAAGAAGCACAGAAAAACAAAACACCCCAGAAACATGTAAAATACCATTCTGCCGGACGCCGTATCCAGATGGACACTCCGTGTGCTTGATGCAGAAGTCAGCTTGCCAGAAATAGCCTTCTTTACATTGACAAACTCTGTTGTTAGTAGGAGTGCATTCTTTCTTAATGTATTGATTCTCTACACAGAAGGTGCTGCAATACAGGCATTTCGGCAAGTAGTTCCAGAACTGTGTGAAATGGTCCTTTGGACAGGACGAACAGACGGTGTCTTCAGTTGCAGTGCAGTGCGCACTCATGTGGGTTCCAGCGGGGCAGCGTGTGCATGCGAGTATCTGCCCTGTGAGCGGGTCTTTGTGCTGGTAAGTAGGGACATCTACTGTCGATGCATCCATATGTAATAGTAGCATCAGCACTAGAGCTAAGTGATGTTCAACATTGCAATATTTCTAGAACATTGAAATGGAAAAAATAACTTGTCATTTTACATTACTGTATCTACAGTATGTAACAGTGTATTTTTAGTTATTGTTATTTTGTGGTTGATGCAACTATATCATAAAAGTACAGTGTCGTTTTGTAGATTAACTGTAAACTGTATATGTTAACATACCAAGAAAAAAGATTTTTTTTTCACACACACACACACACACACACACACACACACACACACACACACACACACACACACACACACACACACACACACACACACACACACACACACACACACACACACACACACACACACACACACACACACACACACACACACACACACACACAGCACTAAAATTATTCTTTAAACCTATAGTAAACAAAATGCTACATAAAACACTAAAAAACGAAGAAACACTAACTTTAAAAATTGAATTTTATCAATATTTTATTGTAAATGTATATGTTCAACACTTCTTTGTTAAATACTATTTTCATATACTAGGTAATTCATAAACCGTTATTTTAATATATTTTACAGTATAATTACATGAATGATTATATAACTATGTAATTAACATAACCAAGTTTTTACTGTATCATTTTGTTATTTTTCTATTAAAATGTATCATTCTTGAAAGCACTTTATTTTACAGTCTGTTCTAAATGTACAGTATGTACTTACTCTAATAACTAGATACTAATCCAACCCCATCCCATATAAAGTCCAAGTAGTTACCATATATTACTCAGTACTTTGTACGTAAAGTGTAAGTACACTGTAAGTGCACATACTGTAAAATAAAGTGCAATCAAATATTTTATAAACGTTCACTATATAATTAATAATAATAGTTAATGTGCAATTACATTTATAACACAAAATAATTACAAATTAAATTCATTCATTAGAATTGCCCTACTGTACTTACATAATTATGACCCATTTTATTGTCTCGTCCTGACATGATAGGAAGAACAAAGGGCTTTCATCACTTTAAATGTATCTTTACCCACCCACACAGAGGCGGGACTGCTGACAAGTTTGGGTTAGTTCATTACACCCCCACCCCCTAATAGGTTATGAGAGTGTAGACAACCATATAACAATTTAACATTAGTCAATGCAATTAAAATTACAATTACCATGTTGCTATCAGTAACACATTCGCTTATCCATTAATTAATATTACTTTATGAATCATTGCATTTTTTGGCAGTTTTATTAAAGCGAAAAGGATGCCTATTTTTTGCCTCTTTGACAGAGCTATTACAGGAAAAAAGAATAGGTTACTTTATTGCCTATAGTCGTGATCTATGATCAGGTTTCACATGTTCTATTTTACACTGTCTATTTTATTATCTGATGTACTGTAGATGCAAATACGTGCACAGCTCTTTGATACGTTAAAGGTAATTTCCCTGGTGAAGGGAAACTATCAGTGAAACTGGAAGTAATGTCAGTCATAACATGTGATTATTACCATATGAGCATAAAAAAAACCTTCTGAATCTCTAATCTTCGGTGACATCCACAGTAAACATTAACGCTCATGAATTAACTAAACTTTTGTTCAACTTCAACTTCTGAAATTTACAAAAAGTCTTACAAAAAAAGAAACAGCAGTTCACCTAAAAAAAGAAAAAAAGAAAAGTGGCTCATACTGTAATAGGTAATCTGTGCCAGTTTGTGTTTTTGGGTGGGTTTGATACGTGTTTCAGTTAGGTCTCCCGTGTTTCATCTTGTTTCTATGGTGTTTCATTGATTTGATAATGATTTGCACCTGATGTTAATTTTGTTAATTAGTTCAGGGTTCCCACTTGTCCTGAAAAACCTTGAAAACCTGGAAAAAGCTTGTTGTTGTCCTGAAATATATATATATTTTAAAGTTCTTTGGTTTTTCTTTAGCCGAGAACATAGAGTTTATCACTGGCCAAACACAATTACCGTTAGTTGCAGAAAGTACAATGTTCTGGAATGCTGAGTTGACGTGAGAGTAGTATTTTAAAAGATGATGTTTAGTTTTGTGTTTCCGCTTGCAGCAGTTAGCTAATGCTATTAACTGCTCAAATGTATGCACCAAATGTTAACTGGTAAGCAGCTACCTAATTCAGTACCTTGCTAACTAATAATTTTGATGCAATATAAGGTCAATAAGAGATTCACTGTGCACTGTAGCCAGCTTCATTGATTATAACAGGAATTTTCACAACAGTGCAGAACTCTGTGAGCTTGCTCTGAAATGATTGACAGCTGCAGTTATTAAAAAGGGAACACTCTTTGTTTGCTATCTGTATATAACCCATTTGCAATTTGAACTATACACGCTGCAAAGTTTTGGGAATGACTAACTTTAAATGTGGGATTGAATCCAAAATTATATTGATTGACATGGTGAAAACCAGCATTGGATGGGGCAAAAAATTCTGATGTCAAAATAGATGTGTGCATCAAGTGTAAAGTCAAGTCACCATTTATAAAGTGCTTTTAACAGTATGGATTGTTTCAAAGCAGCTTTACAGTTATAATAGAAATCACCTTAACAGATTGTTTAGGCTTTACAACAGCATTAGGATAAAGTTATTGTCCAGCTAAATTTAGTTTTGATTGATTCACTTCTGTTGCGAAGATCATTAGTTAGGGGCCGCTAACACGACACCGTTCTAACAGAAAAACTCTTAAAGCGCTACGGCCGCCCATCCGCACAACAGTGCCTGGTGGCTAGAGAACGCAATCCCTGAAATAGGTTCGAAGGTGCAGACTAATAGACCTGCCACATGTTCTATTATGTGTTATGGGTTTCTGTGTTGTTAATCGACTTTGTCTTTGACTAATATTTTTATTTTCAAATAGTTAAACAAAACATTAAAATAGTTCCAATATATTTAGCTATAATATTGACACTGGTAACATAAAAAGTTGCAATTACCTTGGGCCATAAATTGTTTATCTCACAATTCTTAACTTTCGTGAAATAGCGAGATAAAGTCAGAATTGCGTGATATACTTTTTCTTATTGACTTTTTTGGTAACGCTTTAGATTACAGCCCGGAAAGTACTGCGTAATTAAAGCGATTTTACAGTGTAACTTTCAGTAATAGTGTACCTATAAAGTACTTACATGTAAGTATAAGGGAACAATATGTAAAGTTTGGGAAATAAAGGGGTAACAACCATGAGAATTAAAAAATTATTTATACTGTAAGTATTATATAACTAAGTGGAACTTATTCTACTATTATGATACAACAATCTTACATTTGGGAGCAATTTAGCAAGAACATACAATGCGTGCCTTTTTGTAATAATGGTGTACCAATACATATTGTGTATAGGCTTTTTTTTTTTAATTATAGGGTACATATCTATGCATTTATACAGTAATCTTTTAACAAAAGTGCACTGACAACTAAAACTATTGCAACTTTTGCTTAAATATTGGGGAAAGATACTCTTGTTTCATTAGTGGTGCTTGTTACCCTCGTTTCATGTAGTTACAGGGTAAGTACAATAAACATAAATACACAATCTTATATCATTATATCATTGACTCGGAAACCTTTATTTGAAAAACAACTTAATTCAGAACACTTATAATGCAAGCCTCATGTGAGTTTTGGAAAAAGGTGGAGCATCAAACAGCACACACTGCAATAACTCTAGTAATCCATACGACCCCAATCGATAGATCAATGTCTTCTGAAGGGAAACGATAAGTGTAAGAAAAATTACAATATTTTAAACTTTTTAAACTGAAGACTATCTCTTCAGACCAACTGTAATAAGTTGTTTTTCAAATAAAGGTTTCTGAGTCAGTGATATTAGATTGTGTGTATGTATTTTTATTTTATGATCGCGATAGCATTTTTCCAGAAGATGCTTGGCAGATCTAACCGCACGCTCAGCCAGTCCATTGGATTGGGGATAGTGAGGGCTGCTGCGAATATGCTCCCATGTGCGTGAAAAATCTTCAAATTCTTTGCACACAAACTGAGTAGCATTATCAGTCATTAAAGTGTGAGGGACACCATGTACTGCAAAATGTCTTTTCAGCTTTGCGATAACCGTGATGCTTCTCATGTCAGGAAGATAATCCAGCTCAAACCAGCCCGAGAATGAATCCACAAGGACTAGATGTGTTTTTCCATGCCAATCAAACAGGTCAGCAGCCGTGAAAGACCAGGGAAGATCCGGGATTTCATGGAGCTGCAGAGGTTCTTTTGTCTGATGAGGTTTGAGAGCATTGCAAGGTGCGCAACGAGAGAGTTCAGCGTCAATATCAGTGTACATCGATGGCCAATACATAAGTTCTTTAGCCCTGCACTTTGTTGCTGTAGTACCAGGATGGCCCTGATGTAACTGGCTTACATAAAATGTCTGCAGTGCAGGTGGGATAATCAATCTCTCCCCACGAAGCAGCAGGCCATCCTGAATGGTCAGCTCATCTCTCATTGAAAAGAAGGGACGCAAGGAATATGGAAGTTATTTTGAGGTGGCTGGCCAGCCGTTACTAATCATGTCAGAAAGCTGTTGGCATGTGACATCTTTTTGCACAGCAGCCCTGAGTTCATCAACCCGACGGGAAGACAGTACCTGGACGGTCATGACCTCCAGTAGGTCATCAGTGAGTTGTGGGTCAGATGTGGAGAGGTGGGCCCGGGACAAAGCATCAGCCACAAACAGCTCCTTACCACGTTTGAAAATGACATCCAGGTGATAACGATGCAGTTTCATCATCATACCCTGTAGGCGGGGTGAGGCAGTGTGGAGTGGCTTCTTCAAAGGGATACTCCACTTTTTTTGGAAATAGGCTCATTTTACAACTCCCCCAGAGTTAAACTGTTGAGTTTTACCGTTTTTGAATCCATTCAGCCGATCTCCGGTTCTGGCGGTACCACTTTTAGCATAGCTTAGCAGCAGGCGTAATGATATGACGCAGCTGGGGACTATTTTCAGGCGCTGCGTCATATCATTACGCCTGCTGCACTCATGGTACGGCAGTAA